GAGCCCCCTCGACCACCACAGCCCATCCCCTCTTCAAGCAGGTCTCTCTTTCACCTGCTTCCCAAGTCACATTATGCCTGGGCTGAAAGGGGGCCTGCTGGCAACACGTTTACCATCACTCAGCCTCCTGGGGCGGGGGGCGCAAGGACCTTTCCCCTCCTTTTCCTCATCCGGCCTTCCCAACTGAAGCAAAGAGGCTCACCACCTCCAGAGGCAAAACACAGGCGGGCTCATGGCCATTCCTCACTGCCCAAAGTGTTTGGAGAGGCAGCACAGTACGACACACACACCCCCCCCCCACACACACATACAGAGTGTCTTCTTACAAATCTCAAAGATGCACGTGCACACACACATGTACCACACTCCAGCAGCCTGCAAGAGCCTCTTCCCACTCTCCCCCCCCCCCAATACAGGGGGTGGTTTCAGTGTGGCCAATACCAAACTACCATTGACAGAATAACGGAAGGATTCCTTCTGCTTGGGGCTGCTTTGGAAGCCACAACCCCGTGGGGCTGGAATCCAGCTTGCGGACAACAGAGGAGTAGAGTTTTCATCTGGTTTCCTTCCAAGCACTAGACCCTCTGCTGCTAAAACAGACCCCCCCCCCCCCCCGTCCCCACCCGCCCCAAAAAACCCCCCCCCCCCCCCCGTCTGCACCGCCTGAGGCTGGCCTGCCAAAGACACCTGCTGGGCTGGCCCCAAATATGGGGATGCACAACTCCACACTTAAGCTTGACACTGAAGGCAATGCAAGAATGGGAACATCCGTTATATTTCTGGTCACTCCTGCCCAATCGCGGAAACTGAAGGAGCCACGAAATGAGGTTCCAGGGGGAGAAAAGGGGACCAGGATGATGGAAACTGAACCACCGCCCCCCCCTGCAGGCCTCCTACCACCGCTCAGGGTATGACCATGAGGGCCACAGAACACCCGAGTGTCCGTATGGACTTGCCAGCTCTCAGCTGCACGACCCAGCCCTGAGGCATCTCCCAAAGGCCGACTGGGCTCCCTGCCCAGACATACCGCGCCGCAGCAGTTCCAGGTAGCTCTTTTCCTCCACGCAGGGCCGGTCCCCATCTTCTGCCTCGTCCAGCAGAGCGGCTCTGGGCATTTGGATGCCTCTCCCTCCTTGGTAGCCGCCCACGGGGGGGTGGGTGCCGGAAAGGTAGACGTTGCTGTTATAAGGGTTGTAGCCAGACGAGTGCCAAGGATTCCCAGCTGGAGAAGAGGCAACAAGAGTGCAGATGTCTCCATTAGCCCCTGAGTGAAAGGGGGATTTTGGAAGACAGCTGGAGTGGGAGCAGCCGCTGAGAATATCGCTGTGGCGATCCGCGTTCCAATCACCACCCAGCCACAAAACTGATCTGGTGATCTGGTGGTCACTCCCTCTTAGCAAAGCCCACCTCGTACAGCTGTTGTGAGGAGGGGGTTATGTATGCCAGCCTATGCTCCAGGAAGGGAGGGAGGGAGGGAGGGAGGGAGGGAGTTTTTTTTTGGGAGGGAGGGATTAAAGCAGGGCAGGGGGACGGGAACATTTGAGTGGCAGGTTCTGAAAACAACTGCCAGGAGCCCTGGACCACTGCACGGCTGCAGCCTTCACAAACGGGAAACATTCCAGTCACCGTAGCTAAATGATCTCTCTGTTATTCGTCTCTCACCTGGTCGCTGCTGCTAATGGTGACGGGAGACAGCCAAAAGTCCCCCATCGAGACCTTTAAACAGCACACGTGCGGATGCGTTTGCTTCACTGCAGGCCGAATTCCAGCCCCTCGGCATCAGAAGAGCCGCCTGTGCTGTGGTCTGCACAAGTCCAGACCCCCGAGGAGACTCCGAGCACCACTGTGTGCCTGGTGCGCCCGCGTGTGGTCTAGCCCTGGAGGCTGCTCCCCCTCTCCCTTGAGTTGCCCGGCCAGTGCCCTGAGGCAGAGGTGTGACGGGAACTCAGAGGAGCTGCAGCTGCCCGAGGAGAACAGAAGTGTGTTCCAGGATCACCATTTTTATCTTCCTTTTGCTTAAGTGGTAATTAAGCAAACCACCACCACACCTTCTCCTGGGTCACCAGCGTGACTGGCATCATGCCAAAGGAGGAGCAGTTTCCTTTTGAGGAACGTGAGTTGCATCGCTGCAGGGGCAGGCCTCAGCAGAGTCCTTCGGGAAGCCACACAGTTCACTTACAAATTTCCCCAATCTGTTGGCTGAAAAAAGGCACAAGCAAATCCCAAAGCGCGTCCACATGGTCAAGTAGTCAAGGAAGTCAAAAAGGGCAGGGCAACGGTGTGTGTGTGGGTGGGTGGGGTTTTTTTAAGGACAGAGGCTTCTATAATAACCAAGGAAACAAAACACATGTTTTTGCCAAACAAAATTCAGCAGGCCACTAAAGATGTTTAAGAGAAATATACCCCTGTCAGCATGCATCCTCAGACTTGGCCTTAGATGACCAAACGATGTGGGGGGAAAGGGAGAAGGCATCTGGTTTCACTGCAGAAAATGGAGGTGGGGGGGGGGAGAGATATCCACACATGAGCCAGTTTGGTCAAAAAGGGATGACAAAGCCTGAGTGTCAGCTAGGCAGGCCTCTAGCTGCCACGAGAGTGAGGGGGTGGCGCTGGAATTTTGACTTTCGATCCTGCTGTGTCTTTGCTGCTCTGCTGATCTTGCAGCCCATGCTTTTAGCCCTTGAATGCCGGCTGGTGTCTTTCTCCTGAGAATTTCGGCCTGTTACTTTGGGGGGCCCTTACCTGACCTCTGACTGGCCCTGGGCCATCGGGGGACCCCTCTGAGTGATGCAGATCGGTATGGTCCGCACGCTTATGGTTGGTTCTAACGCACAGGAGTTAAGGTATCTGCATACTTTCATATGTCTCAATAAACTTTACTTCTTTGGATGAAAGCTATCGGGAACCGATTGCTGCGTGAGTCTGACACTGAGACTAGCCGGCAAATGATGAACTGGACTCAGGCCTCAAAGTCAGCGGCAGCGGCTACCCCCCAACAGCCCCACCCCCCCCAGCTCAGCCAAAGAGAGAGACACCCACTTTTCACTCCATTCTTTATCACAGCTATCAACAGAATCAGGTCCATCGTTTAAGACTATTTATTTACCCGTTCTCCACCCTCCATTCTCACAACCCAGGTATACAAAGGGTGAAACACATGCACACGCCATCCAGGCCCATGACAAAGCTCTCGGGGGAGTAGAAGTGGGGGCAAACCAAGAAGTCAGAGAGAAGGGATGGAAGCAGGGCAACAAGGTGTAAGTTTGAGGGGGGGCGGGCGGGCGGGCAGGGGGGGGGCTGTGAGCACCAGTGTAAAAGCAATGGCCTAAAAAAGAAAAGAGTTTGTACAGAACTGGAATGTGAGCTTCCTGAACATTTAACACATGGCGTGCTTGAAGCCAGTCTCCCTGTGACAGGAGGACTGGGAACTAACAGTAAGCACACAGATCCAGGCAAGATCCAGTCAACGGCAAGACCAGTGAGCTTCTTTGTCTCAGATAAACTGGTGGAAATGAATTAAGTCTGTAGGAACCAAGCAGCAGCAGCAGCAGCAGCAGCAGCACAGGGATGCCTGACTCTGGCGGCCTTGGAGGATTCTCTGAGCCGCAAGCAAGCCTAAAGACGGACTATTTGCTACAAAACAGGGCCCTGCAAGTATCATGGAAACACCCAGCGCACAGAGACCGTCGTCACTGGAGCTGTTTGTAGGTTAGGTTGCTGTTGTTGCTTTTCAATTCACTGTCGCAGGACAGCGATCCACAAGGAAGGGCCTGCTGCCCCTCAGGAGAGCCACGTGTGCTCTCGGGCCGCTCTCGAGCAGTGCGAAGCCTCACCCTGTGTGCTCATGAGCTCAGTGGGCTCAGTGCGGAGCCAACAAACCAAGGATAAGCAGGGATGCTGAAATCCAACACCTTAACAACGTCTCTGCCCAAAGCGGAGTGCTGATGCTGGCTGACGGCTATTTCCTAGGTGCCTTGTTGCCAACGTCCACTGCTACCTCCCCAAATTTATTGTTTTTATATTCAGTAGAAACATAAAAGGAAGGGAAGGTACCCCCAAGGGTCATCTAGTCCAACCCTCTGCACAATGCAGGAAATTCTCAGCTACCTGCCCCCCTCCCCCCAGTGACTGGAGGAAGGCAAAAAAAAAAAAACCCTTCCAGGATCCCTGGGCCAATCCGGAATTCCTTCCTGATCCCAAAGTGGAGACTGACATTACCCCTGGGGCATATAAAAGTATTTTGCTTTCTTCAGGAAATGTAGAGATTGTGGAATTTCAGTTTTTGAAAAGGGAGGTGAGGAGGAGGAACGTCAAAAGCTCTGCAAGGACCGAGGCTGAACTGGCTGCAATGCACAGAGCAGAAGAGTCCTGCCACCGGGCACTCCAAGGACCCTGCATGGAACTTGCAGTCGCTTCAGGCTCCCCCTTGGCAACTGCCACCAGGGTTAGAGACTTGGGGTTTCCTTGCTGGAAGGAATACTTAGCTCCCCGGGATTTCGAATCCCATAGTCAACTGCAGCCGTGCAGCTTAGCACTAGGAGGCCAGATGACCTCGGGTGAAAGCGGGAGAGCACAAAAGGCTGCACACTCCTACGGACCCAGCAGTCTCCCCCCGAGAGCCTCTGCTGGGAAGGAGCAGGCTTACCTCCTCCGGAGCCGTATCCACCAGCGCCACCGCCGGCCCCTCCCATGGGCGCCCCGCCCCCAAAGTGCTGTGGGAACTGGGGCAGCGTCTTCTTCCGCTTCCGTTCCACTTCTTCTTTATCTGCAGACAGCGACACGGGAAGGGTCACCGTGGATCGGACCTGCCAGGCTCGTGTGCAAGAGAAGGCCCACGGCACCCCGGGGAGGAGGGGGGGGGAAGCGTCATACCTTCCACCACCGGGTAGTAGGTGAACTGCTTTGAGTCGCTCACGTCGCCCCCTCGCTTGCGCTTCAGCTGCAGGAACACCGTGACCGGGCGGTCTATCTTGCTCTTGTGGTAAGGCGGGGTGCGGAACACGATGGCGTACTGCAGGGGCGGAAGGGGAGCCGAGTCCTGCCAGGCAGCCAGACCACACCCCCTCCCCCGCAGGCGGCCTCTGCCCCTTCCCACGCCACAGGCAAGCCGGGGGGGGGGCAGCAACCCCCCCCCCCTCCTGCCCTCTAGGCAGCAAACCTCCCTTTTCCAGGGGAGTGGGCGGCGGAAAGGTTTCGTTTGCTAATACATCTGAGCGGCCTTTCTGTTCATCACAACGCTCGGAGCAGCACACAAAAAGAATACTAAAAATACTAATGTTTGAAAAGCACACCCCTTGAGGGCCACCTCAGTTTCAGGGTGGAAACTTTTGGGAATAAGTTTGCTTGTTTTAAGACTCTGGCAAAAAAGTACATAAAGGTGAAATCTGGCCAGTCTCCTGGGCAGAACATTCTCCAGTGAAGGCCCCACACACACACACCCCTCACACACACACACTCACCCCCAAAGAGCCCCCAGCCCGCATCCCTAAGAGTCTTGCCTCTGGGACTGACTGGCATTCCCCTGCGGAGCTCCACAGCTGGGAAATAAAGGCAAGGCGGGTCCAAAGATTTAAAAACAAGGTCTCAGGTGACTTTGGAGTAAGTATACCCAAGATATTGTGGATATGTCGCAGTACATCATTCCAGAATGAACTAATTTTTTCGCATTCCCAAAAGCAATGCGCAAAAGTTCCTATTTTTTTGCAACCCTTCCAGCAGTCTGGCGAATAGTTAGATGTTATGTGAGACAGTCTCTGGAACGTCGTACATTTTGGGTTCGAAGCTAAATGGTTGTCAATTTTAGAAGCTCTATCAGACAAAAAATTTATCTCAGCATCCTAGGATAACTATGTTAAATGGTTGTGAGGATTTTTTAATGGTTCAAATAAAGTACAGTAAATAGGCTTTGGTAAAACTTGATTTGTGGGTAGTACTTTGTGTTTAATATGGTTAGATATATCATTGAATGTCTACAGATATTCTTGAGGGCAGAAGACACTTGGTTGTATCTAAAGCAACAAACAGTACAGGCATCAATTACAAATTGAGGCTAAAATAAGTTACTTTGTTCAAGGATTTATTGAAGAATGTATCATTCTTTAAAGCTTACTTTTTTGTAATTAGTGTGTTGGTTTGAATGTATAACTGTTCTTATGACCTTTATGTATATTTTTATTGTTATATTTGTTTTATTGTTTTAATTCTACCAATAAAATGTTAATGAGAAAAAGGCGGCTATGAAGTCCTGAGCACCACATGACAAGGCAACCTCAGCACCAACGCTGCAAGTTCCCCTGAGGAGAGAATCCGGGGGGGGGGGGGGGGGGGCACAACATCAACCCCCAAGATCAGCTCTACAAGCTCAGCCCAGGGAAGGAAGGCGGACTCTGGCCACCGGCAAAGGCCCCTGTTACTAACAAGCCACCCAGAGCCCAAAGGAGAGGCCGGGGGAATCTACATTTAGTGAACGAACATTTCCCCCTTAATGTCTGTCACTGGGAAAACAAACCTGCTTGGCACAGAGAACACAACCCCATCCCCGTTTGGGGCAGAACTCCAGCCACGGGTGCAAGTCACCAGGCCCCACTTCGGAGGACCACGGGTGCCACACACACAGCCACCTGACCTCTTCTCGGGCCCCAGTCCTGTTCTGGAGCTCAGGGGGTGGGGGTGGGGGCATGACTCGGTGCTGGGCTTTGGTTCACGTCCTCTCTAGACACCATACCTGTTTGTGCACGTCTGTGGGGGAGAAGTCCCCAAAGGCCTGCCAGCCATTCTCATCGTCTTCATAAAACCGCACCTCAATATCATCTGGAGAAGGAAGGAAGGAAGGAACTCGTTGGGAGAATATCAGTTCTGGCGCCAGAGAACACAGACTCCCAGAAACTAGCAGGGCTGTGTCCATTTCTCAAGATTTACCCCCCCACACACACACACACACACAGAGACACCTCTCTCATCTGTCTGCTGGGCTAACGACCCCTCTGCATCCCCCACACATCCCCCTCACCTACTTCGACCCCTCCATGCCTCTTAGGGCTCTCCCCCCCCCCCCCCCGGCCTGCCTCTCCCCCGCTGAAGGCGAGCCTTGCGCGTGTCCGTCAAGGGAATCAGAGCCACACTCTTCCCGAGGCCCCCATCTCCCCAGCAGCAAAGACCCTTCCCAAACCGCTTGCAGGCTCTCAGACCCCACTGAAGAGGACCACACGGCCAGCATCTATTCCGTAGCAGGCTGGTCTCGAAGACACCTGAACGACGAAAGGTGCATATTTGGAACAGCCTAAGGAGACGGAAGGAGCCACGGGTCTGAGAGGAGCAGCCCCACGAGGCCCGATCCGCCCACACGTCCAGAGGCCAGCCGCCTCTTCTCTCCCCGGTGCCCAAAGCTGCTTTCAGCTCCCCGTTCTCAACACCGAGGCAGAGAGGAGCACGTGGCACGGGAAACCCCACGGCCGTCTGCCAAAGAGAACGCACGGACAAGGTGAGGGAACAGGTCAGCCCTTGCCTTTCTGGACTTTGTCACACAGCAGGTACACTTCGTCTCCACCCCGCACGGAGCCAGCCGTCTTATCCATCCGGGAGATCTTCAGGTTGGACGCTCCGGGGGACTCTGCAGAACAAGAACCAGAGCCCTCTAAGCGAGACGCACACATGGGGCCGCAGCCGCAGGAGAGTCTGTCTGCAGCTTTGGACAAGAGGCGAGGCAGAAACGCTCCGTAAGACTGGCCGGCCATACCTACAGCCTCAGAACCCCCCGCCCCCCCAATTATTTGTCATTGCCTTGCCACCCCCACCCCACCCCGCACATCACTCCCAAGTGCCTCGGAGACACTTTTGAACTGCCTGAGACTCTTGCTGCGTCCACTTGTGCCGTGCAAACGGTTAGCCCCGGGGGCCAGGGAGCCTCTGCTCTGCAGACCCCAACTTCAGTTTATTAAACTTTGTCTTAGAAGTAGTTGCTAGGCCCAAACCCTCAGAAAGGGTGGTCAGCACTCTGGGAGAAGACCCTCACAAGGAGACCGTCCAGAGGGCACACTCGCTGCCAGCTAGGCCTCGGCCTCTGCTGCCATGGGAGTAAGGGCCCGCTCTGGAATGTCAAGTTTCTATTCTGTGGTGTCTCCACAGTTTCTGTGATCTGCCTTGCTCACACACTTGATCTTGGTTTAGTATTTCGCCTGGGAAGAAAGGCCCATTATTCTGGCGGGCTTTTTACCTGGACCCTGATTGGCCCTGGGCCATCAGGAGGTCTGCTTGAATATACCATCTGTTGGCTATGCGCGCTTTTAGTCAGTTCTAACACGAGATGTCTACGAAAATCTGCATACTATCAATGCTCCAATAAACTTTACTTTGAATTAAAGCTGTCGGGAACTGATGGCTGCAGGAGTCTGACACTCAGCCCCTCGGCCCCTCGGCAGTGGGAGGCCTTAATCCTGGGGGCCCGAAGAGCAGGTGGTGGGGAGATCCTCCGAGCCCCAGCAGCCCAAGTCACCCGCCAAAATCGAGCACCGCTGTTACAACCCCCCGTCCCTACAGAAGAGCAAGGACCACTTCAACAAAGGCCCCTGGCCATAAGCAGAGCTCAGTTCTTGTTCTTTTAACAAAACCAACAAAACAGAACGCCAGCACTAAAACAGGGAAGCTTTCACCTGCTGGGTTAGGAACTAAAAAACTGAGCACTGCCTGATTCAGGGGGGGGGGGGACAAAGGGGAACACAGAGGTGATGCCCTGCTTAAGCACCTGACAGATCAGAGAGCCTCAGAAGCCGAAATCAGGGTCAGCGGTCACGCCACACACACACACAAATGTGCGCCCTGCGGCTGCTTCAGTTTAAGGATCCTGAGCATACTGAGGCCGCCCGGGCAGAGGAGCTGCTGGTGCTGGTCAGAAGCCAAAAGCCCTCCCTCCCTTCCATCCTGCTTCATCACACCCACCCAGCCCCTCGAGGACTTGAAGCTGCAGAGGGCATGATTTGGGTACGACATTCGTGTGGAAATTTAACGTGTTTTATTTAAAAGATTTTTATGCCGCCTTCCATCCCCAAGGCAGCACACACAGAACATTAGGAAAATTAAAACATTAAAATTATAGAATATTTCAATAAAGACACATAAATGCCACCCAAACCAGGGAGGAGGGCCAATGACTGTTACTGGGGGTATGCCGAGCAACACCAAAAAGAAACCTTCACCTGCTGGCAGCAGACACGGGCAGAGGGAGACACGGGGGGGGGGGGGCCAAA